CTCCGAATATTAAATTGTGTTATGTACTAAGGTGCGTCTTCCAGATTCATTGAACACAGAATCTTTTGTGAAAATGTAAAAAAAACGATACTCTGAATATCTAACGATCCCGATTTCCAACTCTTGATTGCAGGCAATCTGTTTCCAGAAAAACAATGAGGAAAATAATCTTGTGTGTTCTTGCTGTTCTGCTTTGGTCACAAGGTAAGTTACCACTCATGATCACTCAACACTGACCTTTCCTCTTTCCCAGACCCAGTCTCTCCCTCTTCAAACTGAGAGGTCCTAGATTGGAGGTCCTACATGCAGAAGCTAGGAGAAACATGCTTGAAATCACAGGGTGATTTGATGGCACTTGGGGCACAATGGCCAACAGTGTCCAATTCTGCCCTTTCGTAGGCTATTATTCCCAATAATAAGCTTTCATACTCTCTCCTCCTTTTCCTCATTTGATTCAAGTGCTTCACTGCAGTTGTGAGAATCTGTTGTTAAAGGATTGTGTGTGTACAATGGAGCTAAGCCAAAGATTTTTTTTCCTGTGTTGCCTAAAGCTATATGGACTTGACTTTTTAAACTTTCATGGTCAAGGAATGTCAAAGAACTCAAAGGATATTTAAATATGACAATTTCTGTATCTCTTACTTTTAATGTTTTTGTCCACTGCTTCCCACTACAAACTGTGCTTTAGGCTATGTATTGGCTCCATCAAGTACCTGTCATGGACCATCTGCCTAGAATTTCTTAAAACATATCAGAAATAACAACAATGTAATGTTTAATCTGGTAGGCAAGAAAGTTGTGAATGTAGAATTCTGATTCCAATCTGTATTTCCCCTTCTCCTCATCAGCATATCTGACACATACACTTGTGTGTATGTATAAACTGCCTCCCTGGGGCCCTATGTAAATATTGTGTGACATGTAACATATTCAGAAGAATGTATAACAGAAAAAATATATAAATTATTTTTTTAAATTGATAAATTCCTAAAGAGAAGTTTCATATCATAAATCTCTAATAGCAATTTTGTCAAAATTTATACTTTCAATAATAATATAACATCAGAAGAAAATGTATTTTTATAATTGTTAGATTCTTAAAGAGGAAGTTTCATATTTGAATTATCTAATAAAAATTTTAAATAAAATTTATACTATCAATTATAAAATAACATACAAACTAAAAAATAAAATAATAAATAGAAAATGAAAGTGTCAGGAAAAAATGAAAGAGAAAAAAATAAGAGTAAAAATAGAATTAGGAAAAAGAAAAGAAATATATAAAAAAATGACTTCCCACTTCTCAACAAATATAAACAATTATAATAACTAATCAGTTTTATTTAAAACACAACAGATTATCCCATCTTCCCATATGCCACCTCACACATTCTATCGATTTAGGTCATAACTCTTAAAATTAACTTCTGGGTCTGTTGTTCCGAAATATCCTTCAACATATTCCATATTAAAATATTTTACTCCATTCTGAAAAAGCAAGTCAAACTTAAACATTCTTCTTATTAATTGTAATTTTTACTTTGTTCTACTTCTCCCTACTGCCCCATCTTCA